TTTGATTTTCTTTCTATTTCTTTAGCGTATAATACAGTTTACAGTAAATAATTAAATTGGTAAATATATAAAAAAATCAATTTTACTCACTTGAACTATTTTGACGAAGCACTTAAACCCCTACATAATTTTTCATCTCGTTTTATACCTACGAACTATTGAAAGTGGTTCCCCTTATTGTCTAACAGTATTTCTCATTTTTTTATCTCTCTACATACAAGTCATATACATTTGTTCGACTATCAATCTTTGTTATTAACTTTCTCGATGTTCGTGCTGTGCGCTTTTGCGCCAATGCCGTGAACCAGCGACTATGGTTTGTGTGTGTTGTGCCATTACCTAATTAAGGCTAGCTCTGTCGCCCCATCTGTATTTTAAACCTGCATCCGCCACTCAAGATGGGGAGAAAGACTTTCCGATAGAGGATTTGAGGATAAGTCCTAGGGATTATATACTACTGTTGATGTAAAAACACGAGGCCTGGGAGATCTGCTTAACTCCAGTGCAGGTCCAAAACTTGCCTTTAGGTATGCGAGCGTGCCAGTTGATTTGATCCTGCAATCAACAAGAAACAAAGACAAAGCAACCGGTAGTTAAATCCATAAACGATAGCCGATCGGCTAGATGCCGATGACATATCATTTATCTTTGAGCCCATGTCATATATACATCGATCGGCAGTCGTTAATAAGTAAGAAAGAACTATATCTACTTGATCGGTTGTAGATATTAACAGTATATAGTCCCTATATCGATATATACTTAAATCAAGTGATTGGGATAGATCGGTCACCATGCCGAGACAGTATAAATCAATTAGATCGAAATATATATTAATAATGAGACTATATATGTTCATAGCATAGCCGATCAGGTAGATCTAGCATGTATCGGCTAATACTCCGATACTACTCTATATTAAGATATTAAAACAAGTAGAATATATCAAACAAAGGCCTAATATACTTAAATGCAATAAGATCTTAACATAAAGGGCAGATTTAACATGTCAACAAAGCATATAAGGTAAATATAGTAAAATCAGGTAAGATCGGCTGTAACTCCGATACTACCCTAGTCGGCAACCAAAGACAGGCTAGAGATTGAGATTCTAATCACGACTCATAAGATCAAACTCAACTGATGCAGCTACAAGTATGAAAAGAAAGACAATATCTAGACAATCAAGCCGTTGGATGTGTCATAGAGTGGTGGATATCATATATAATCTAAGTCAACATTAGTATCTATCCTAATCGGCTGCCTTCTACTAACAGATGTTAGCCGATTGTAGGTTAGGTAACGATATTGCCGGAGATTATGTATGATATATGATAACTCGACGAATTACATAAACAAGGTTAGAGTATCATAAAGATGGAAGCACTAATCCTGAGAATGCAAGCCGCTATAACAAGTTTTACCTCTTGTTGAAGATCAAAACCGATGCAGCTCATTTTCTATGTTTGGTCTTACATTTGGGGAAATATGAAATATTCTTCACAAAAATTCTATGCCCTGAATTTCAGAGTTATTAAGCCACCAGTTCATTTTCTATGGTTATGGAAGTGCAAAGCAGGTTTTTGGGTGGCTACTCATGATGAATAGATTAAACACCAAGTTCATGCTGGATCATAAGAATTGTGCTCCTCCGGATTGTGATGTTTCTTGTGTTCTTTGTCAATCGGCAGCTGTTGAAGACCTCATGCATCTGTTCCTTTTATGCCCGTTTGCCCAAAATTGTTGGAGTCTTCTAGGCATTACATGGGATACTACTCTGTCGTTGGAAGCAATGTTTATAAGGGCTAAATTGGATTATCAGGGGAGCTGTTTCATGGAGAAATTCCTTTATGTTGCTTGGCATATATGGAAGCAAAGAAATGGGTTCATTTTTTAGCAAAAGATCCCTTCTTTCATCACTTGGAGGCAACTCTTTAAGGGTGACCTCTTCCTTCTATTGTTTAGAATTTGTGCGAGATATCACGATGTAATCATAAGTTGGATTAATGGGTTGTAACTTTGTTCTTGTTTTCTTAATAAAGTTTTTCTAACAGCGGGGGCCTCCCCTGCTATGTTCTCTTAAAAAAAACCGATGCAGCTCAACCCGAAAGCAAGAACTCGTCGAAACAAAACGAAAGTAAAAAGGGTGGCGATGCGCTGAGATTGTATTGAACGCGTTAGTTTGATTACATGGGGCTTGGGGTCTATTTATACCCGAGAATTACAAAATATGTCCATATCGGATACGATTCTTATCTCTAACAAACTCTAAGATACCATAAGTCTTTGCGGCATACTTTTGCCCAAACATATCTCTAAGAGAATTACATAAAATTAATAGATACAACTACCTTCTTAGGACTCTATCCATGCGTGGCAATCATCATGAAGCATATCAACCTAACCCGACAACATATGCAATGTTATATTATCGGATCCGGCTTGATCGGCTAACCCCGTCCGACTCGAATTCTGCCAATCTTAGTCGTAGCCGATTTGGACTCCAGCCGATCTTCACTCTGTTTCCGGGACGATCTCCATCTCGAACTCCATCTCGATTCCTTCTTCATCTCCGATTCTTGGATTACCAAATTTGGTCGTTAACACATGCCCCCCAAGTCCGGAATATTGGATAATGTTTCGAATTTGCCATACATCAATTCCGAGAGAATCTTGCGCTTGTCGTTTTCCAACCATTATTCAGCGCTTTAAATACTAACCGTTGTCCCCGAGAAATCTCACACCGTTTCCTCTGTTTTCACCGCCGAAGCAAACTCCGTCCTATCTCTCTCCGGTGATCCCCTCGGTGCACAAAGCGATTTCTAGGTGATCTCTTCTCCGGCCAAATTTCCGCCCGCGGCGATGTCGACCTCCACCAGCCCGTCTACCGCGCCATCAGCCGAATACGCTGAGGTATGTGCCCATCAGCAGATCCCTCTTTTCTGCACAGTAGATTGGTTTTCCTCATCTCATCTTGTTTTCTTCTCTATTCCTTCTGGATTCGTAGCACATTTCCAATCTAGTTGCAATTCCAAGTCTATCGCATGAGAGACATTATTTCCTTGGTCTGATCGGCAATCTCGACCCTACTGATTTCATCATTGGCGAAACCAATAGAATCCCTTTCAAATTGGCCAACCCTAATCTAGGTCATTGGAAGAGCACCTTCAAGTCTTGGCCATCTCTTGAAAAAACTTGTCTGTGAAAATCCTCCGAGCAGGGGCCGAGCTATCCACATTGGCACCCCCAGTCACTCCCCACCCCCAACCTAGAAACTTAGGGGTGATATTTGTCAAGCCCAGAAATTCACTAGTAATTCCCGAACTTATTTGTGCATAAAAGCCTCGTCCAGGAATCAGCCGAGGTACACAAACTGACAATTTAATATACAGATTCATCATAAAAATAACGTTACATACTTACAAAAGAAAAGAAAACTGCAGCGGAATTACGGTCTAGCGAAGCTCCGGCTCCACTCCCACAGGCAGCTCAACTGGGGTATAAGCCAAACGTCTTCTCCTTCGCAACTTGTCTTCAACTGAGGTTTGATTGATTATTGCAAGGTGAGCATATGACATACTCAGCAAACCACACAACAAATATGCAAGTGCACAAGGATACCAAAGAATGGCATAATATAGGGCTCATTTGCAAAAGCAGCATTTAGCAAACAGTTAAGAATTGTAAAACAGTAGAGTAATTAATCATCAATATTAATCAACACTGAACAACGCTGCACAGGCCCAACCATCCTGAACAACCATACCCGGCTGTACAGATCTATCTCCAAACCAGGAATGTACCATTCCAAACCAGGAGCTAATCAAATTATTACTAGTTATAGCATCATTCATTATGGTGAGAAGTGTGAGACTAATCACAAAAGACATTGTTAGACCCGCCCATAACCGCGGGCACAATTATTCGAATAGTTTTACTCTGGCCAGAGGTGTACCACTGTATCCACAAGACACGATTCCACACATGTTACCATGCCCTGAAGTACCACCACGGCACTGCAAAGGGGGAAATCGTGACTGTACCCTTCGCACAACACAACTCAAAGCAGTGCATCGTTCCTGGATCATAATCACCCCCTTATAAACAAGGCATAGACTCCCAGCGACCCCCATGGGCTTATCTCCGTCACTTCTCAGTCTGGTGCTCCGCAATGAACCATGCTATACAAAAAGTAAAGTCGTTGCCCACGCTGGCTTGTGGATGGCACGGTTAATGTTTCACAACCGATACTCGTGAACCGGTCCTTAATTGTCATTAGCACGACCATTAAAACCATGTGCTCACAACCCACCATTATCAGGTTTTAATTGGCAAATAATTAATTAACCAATCACGATTGACCATCGTGAGCTTCCATTAAATATCCATAAGTGATAGTGAAGCATGATTTATCCCATTAGTGAGTTATTGTTTCTAAGCATGGCTAAGCATCTATTATAAGCATCTAGCTGAACCAAACCAATATATAAGGTTCTAGCTAATCAAATTATAACCCATAGGAAAATAAAGTCATCTTTGGCCCTAATTAAATGGGAAAGGCTCACCACCCGGTGACATTCGAAAATAAATACACAGTTGAAATAAATAGAGAATTTAAATATAGGATCAACATGCTCAAAGGAATTGTGTTTGGGATCTGTGTGACTTGCCTTGCAATAATCGGTCTTCAATTAATCTTCTGGAATACTTCCGATGTACTCGCGAACCTTCGCAACGACGGAAACGACAAGCTAACACGCAAAACGAAGAAAAAGACTAATAAAAACCAAATAAACAGTACATATAAAGTAAACAAACATGTAGATCATGATTTTAGATGAATTTAGAGACTTGAACGGCCTCATTCAATATCATATAAATTAATTATGAATTTTACAAGATTTAATTCCAATTAATCCTATTAAAGAAAAGACTATTCAAAATTAATTAAACCGTTTACAAATGATTTATAACTGAGATAAAGATTAAAACAACCTCCAGAAAAGATTAGATTATATTTGGTAGATGACATATGATAAAAAGAACTAATATGCCATTGAAGAGAGGGAACGGATTTATATGGCTGAGATTAATCTTGACCGAGTCGACCAAGATCGGATTAGATTAATCTGGCAAGCAAGCCTCAAGAGATACCGACTCAACGAGTCAATTCTACGTGACACGGGATCACCCAAATGATCAACCGAAACCGGCGAACGGAACCGGCGGCTCTGAACGGCTCTAAACTAAAGGACGACTCAACATGGACGAACGAACGAAGCACGGGGAACACCTCTTTCGAACGAACGAGCGAACGACTTAACAACGACTGCGACTAAACCGGTGAGCTAGACACGATTCACGGTAAAGCCCGGGTACGGCAAACGATAGGCCGGTAGGAATTTAGGGATGCACCTACGGCTAGACAACTTGACTACCGAGCAACGGTTAAAGCGGCAGCTAGGTTAAAGCGGCACACAGCTGCGACACGGCGGCACTAGGGCGACTTGGCTTGGCTAGGCGGCGGCGACTCGGCGGAGGCACGCGGCTAGGGTTAGGGCAACGGCACAGCGACGACGACACACAACGACGACAGAGCACGAAAGCAAGGCGCAGCAGCTAAGCGTGGCACGGCGGCGGCTACTCGACGACACAAACGAGAGATTAAAAACTAAACCGAGGGAACACAGATAGACGTCTCACCGAACCAAAGCGATCGGAGAGGAAGGGTCGACGATGACGGTCCGGCGACAACACACGGAGACGATGACGACACTAGGGCCAAACAAGATTAGATTAGATTAGATGGGATTAAGACCCTAGGGATAAACTACACCAGTGAACGACATAGGAGCGGCGGTTGCCGGCGAACCATGGCCCAATAATGCAAACGGAGGGCACCGGGAGGTAGAGAAGGCGACGGCGATTCTTACCAACACTTACGCGACGATGGACAGCGACGGAAGATGGCCGGCGATGAGCTTCGAAGGGCGGCGAGGTACTGTCCACGGCGGCGATGATTTTCCGGCGACAACACATGAAGATGATGACGACACTAGGGCCAAATTAGATTAGATTGGATTAAGACCCTATGGATAAACTACACCGATGAACGACAAAGGAGAGAGGAAAGCTCACTGAGGGGCAGCGTGACGATGGATGATGACGGCAGACGGCCGGCAGCGAGGTAGAGGCGGCGACGGGGACGGGTCAGCGACGGCAGCGACGTTTCTGCAATCTTTGGCAAAGAAAAACCGGTGGCCGGGCTTCACCTTGCTCCTGCGAACCCAATGGAGTCGACGGCGACCGAAAGAGGCGGCTAAGGCGGCTGCTAGCTGCGGCTGGAGGCGCAGCAAAGGCCGAAACCTTCTGGTTCGCGTCGGCAAGCGGCTTCCGGCGGGATTTGGCACAAAGGAACCAATGGCCGGGGTGGAGCTCGACTTTGCGGAGCCGAGGGAGGTGGTCGCGCTGACCGGCGACGGTCGGGGCGATGGCGCACGGCGGCTGGAGCGGCGGCCGGAGGTGGAGAGAGAGGGAGCTCGCGGGGAGAGTGTTTCCGGCGACGGTGGAGATAGGGAGAGGTGGCGGCCGAAAGAGGAGAAGGAGCGGGCTCTATATATAGCCATGGGAGCCCAGGGATCGAGCCCACGTCGACGGGAAAAACTCGGGAAAGTTTAGGATCTTCGCCGGAAAAAGGAAAGATTGATCCGCGAAATTGGAAAGGATTTCCATAGAAACTTGTGGGATTTCTTGGGGAAAAGGAAGAGGAGATTGAGAGGATTCCATTCCCACAACTAATTTGGAAAAAGGGGCAACGAGGTGGCCGGATTAGTGGGAGGAGGCGGCACGGCTGCACAGGCTCGGGACGGCTCGGGCTCTGTCTGGAGGTTGAAGATAGAGTACTGTAGCGTCAGGGAGGTCAAACAGACTTCTCTGCGGGCTGAGAGGAGAGGAGGGAATGGGCTGAATTCGGCCCAAGACTAGGAAGGAAGATTTTATTGCTTTTCCAAATAAATTAACCAATAAGATGATCTTTCAATTGTTAAAAATACTTCCAATGCTCAAATAATTCCAAGAAAAATCTTGAACATACTTGGACACTCTAAGTATTTAACAAAATTGAAACCAGCTCATTTAATGATTAATTTAATATGTGAATAATTACTGAAATGTTCTTTGCATTATTAACATTAGGAATTGAGCTCTGAAAAAATTCGAGAAAATTCCAGAGAGTATAATTAATCATGGAGAATTTAATAAAAATTAAATCCAACCATTCTTTATATTTAGAAAATTTTATTTCCCACATTTAACTTCACTTGTAAATTAATGTACTTTTAATATAAATTCTAATAATAATTTATTAATTAATTTATAAATCCTGAAACGGAAATTCAGGCCGTGACAAAACTCCACCCGAGAAAAGCTAGATTACATGGTACAAGCGTGTATTGGCTAGCAAGCAAACTCATTGGGACGAGATTGGAATCGGCGAAGCACTTGCCCTCACCACAGCGAATTCAGCCAAAGATGAACACTTAATGGCCGCTGCCACATACTTCTGTCTAATACCATCAATGCCTTTTTGTTCAATCAAGGGCCGATGACACCAACCCTAATAGATATCACCATGATTACTGGTCTGGACGTGTCCTCGTCAGCTAATCCCATGAATCTGAACACCAAGAATCAGTACGACTTCAGGACCAAGAGTATAGGTGGTTGGTCTAGTTATGTGGCGGCATATATGGGCCAGGGATCCATTACTCCTCGAGAACATGTGGCCTTCTTGCTCATGTGACTAGAAAAGTTCCTTTTCTGTGGATCCAGTTGTGGTCCTGCAACCAACTGGCAGTTTGCAGCCGAGGCTCTGGAATCAAAAAGAGAATTTCCTTTAGGCAAGATCCTCCTCGGCTACTTATACCAAATGCTGAACAATGCATCGGCCAAGATAGATGTCGGCTCAGCGGTTGGAGCAGGTGGACCATGGTAGCTGCTAAAATCTTGGCTCAACCTGATGGTCATGAAAGTCGTCAATCGGCTATCTATGACAGAAGCTGTATTCCCTAGGCTAGAGCCGATTGTAGAAGATGATGAAGAAGAGCGCACCCATCGTAGATGCATGTCATATGGAGAATATGCATCCACACCAGCCGATGCTGGAGCAAAATTATTGGCTGAATTGCTCAAAGATTGGTTCTGTAGTTTTTATGAGGACTTTCAAAACGATGCTCGAGTTTGGTTTCCTTATGAAGATTCAATGCATCTTGACCTCCCATCAGACTTCAGATTTGAAGATATCAACCATGAAAAATTTCAAAAATCTAGAGAAGTCTTCTCAGCTGCAATTAGCCCATGCATTCTTCCTATCGGCATACATCAAGGGAGGAATATTCAGGTTTCTTATGAATTTTATCACCCGATGAGCTCTGCCAGACAACTTGGGATGGGTCAACTACCAATCGGCTTGTTCTTTGCTGATAAAATCCAATGCCGAGAGGAAATTTCATCAACCTTGATGATGGATCAGCTGCTCAATCTCCAAGGACCTCCTCTGGGCAGCATTGAAAATATAGAGCTGGCAAGATTTAGGAGCAGAAACTTTGACAGATGATGGGGTGAATGGAAGCTGCATCTGTTCCACCAACCGGCCTCAATGTATATGACAGATCTCTTTCTTGATGTTATACCTGAGGTAAACCTTAACCTCATTAATTTCATTTGAATAATTGTCAACCGATTCATAACTTGACTAATCTTTTCTTCTATTTTGCAGACAACAGAATCTTCCCCTCCACACCAAAGCAATAGCGGCAAAGATATCAAATATGCCCCAAGTCTAATTCCAAATGGAGGTGGACCATCTCCCCCTGTCATCGGCTATCATGCCCCCAAGACTTCAACTCTTCTCCAAGGGCTCATTAGAGAACTAGCCGATGCTGGCAAAAAGAGAAAAACCAGAGCATCATTTGTAGACACATCGACTCTGGCTCCAAAGAAGAAAACCAAGTCAAAGAAGACCAAGTCAACTGATGATCTGTCTGCCCTAGATCCATCCATTGAGCAAGCTTTGGATGAACGAGAGATCAAAGAGGATGTTGATGAAGCTGCAGCTGAGGTAAGTGATACAGAAAGAACTCCATCGGCTTCACCTAAACAAATTCCTCTGACTCCCTCTGCTCCAGCTCACTTCTCTAGGGTAAATATCTTTCCTTGATTCCCTTTTATAACTATTTTATCCTCAACCGATTATTTACTAATCTTGTCTTTGCAGAAAAAAAGAATTGCCGTGAAGAAGAAATCGGCAACAACAACTCTCAAACCGGCTCCACCAGTAAGATGTTCTTAATTTCTCATTAGCCGATCATAGCCAATCTTATCTTAACATTTATCTCTTTTTGCAGCCTCCTGCTCCTCCTTCTTCCCCTGTACAACAATCACCAAGTAACCAAACTCCATCGGCTACAGGGAGCCATTATGTTGAAGAAGAAGAACAACCAGCTGCCCCTGCTATCCAAGTAAGTTTCCCTTTGATACAAGAACTTAGATTGGCTATGTCTATTTAGCTCCTAACTCTCTTGAAATTGTTCTTGTAGGTTTTAGCCGATCTATTCTCTTTTGACATCAAGGACTACTTTGATGAGGTAGAAGAAGAAACCACAAGCAAGGCTCTAGCCCCCTTGGATGACATATCAAGAAAACACTTGAAGATATATCCCTTCGGCTAGAGTCTTCATTAGACAATCTGGTAGCCGACTGTGGTTCAATTCGGGCACGATTTGCAGAAATCCAAGCCCTGATCCCAGACGATTTGGCAAACACCATTACTCTAGCAGTATTCCTTGAGCAACACCAATTTGAGCTGGAAAAGGCTAAGCAACATATAGACGATCGGCGAGAGCGGATGAATATCGAAGTCACTATTCAATCCAATCGGCAGCTCATGCATGAAGAGAAAGCCAAGTTAGATCAACTCTCTGTTGGGCCGATTCAGTTGAATATAGATTGGCTTGAAGCTCGCAAAATTAATCTAATAGCTCAACTTGAGGAATGCAACGCTGAACTGGATCATGAAAAACAAAAGCTAGCCAATCTTCCAAGTGCCGTTGAAGAACAGAAGTCCAGACTGAGATCGGCTATCAAGAATGTGGCTGACACGACTAAATCTCTCAAGATCATCCCTGGAACCAACGCCCAAGACATCCAAGCCATCGAAGAAATAGATCAAATCAGGCAACGGGCTTTGTCGGCTATCCAGCGCTATCTGTCTCAATGACATTTTGTGTAATAGACTCTAGGAATTTTTGTAATCGGCTAAGAAACTCTGGCTCTTCATCTAACTCATCTTGATAATCTTTATGCCGATTCAATATAACTCCATAATTTTGCTCAAAAATTTGCAATTTTGCATATATGTGACCCCCTAATTTTACAATGTCAAAAGCATTGATAAAATTATAATTTGAACTAAGGGCGATATAACAATATCGGCCGTACATCGGCAAACCAAAACCGATTACAATAAAAAAAACGGAGGGCGATATAACAATATCGGCCATCTCAAGGCGATGTGAATACATTGGCTATCATGTTTTGGCAACACCAGCCGATCATGCATTAACCCAAACACTTGGGTAATATTTCTTCAAGTATTTGTCATTTAGCGCTCGTCCATAGACTTCTCCATCGAGTCCTTGCAACATGTAAGCTCCCTTTGACACAACCTTATAGATTTGAAATGGTCCTTCCCAATTCGGTGACCACTTGCCGAATTTGTTATCCCGAGTCCCAATCGGCAAAATCAATTTTCATACAAGTTCTCCTTCCGAAAAAGACTTGAGTACCACTTTCTTGTTATAATGTCGAGCAACTCGCTCCTTATCCTTGGTAACCTTGGCAAGGGTTCTTAATCTTGGCTGAACCAAGTCTTCTCTTTCATCGGCCATGAGATTATAATATTCATCAGCTGTCAAATCATTTTGCAACTCCGTTCTTCTTGAGCCGATTCTAACTTCCCATGGTAAAACGGCCTCATCTCCGTAGACAAGCTTATAAGGAGGGACTTGGATCGATCCATGACAAGCCATCCGATAAGACCACAACGCTTCGGCCAATCGAGTATGCCACTGCCGAGGATAATCAGAAATCTTTCTCTTAATCAATTTGATCAAACTCTTGTTAGATGCGTCGGCTTGCCCATTAGCTTGTGCATAATATGGTGAAGAATTCAACAATTTGATACCCATGCTATCGGCAAACTGAACAAACTCATCGGACATGAAGATTGAACCTTGATCGGTTGTAATAGTTTGAGGAATACCAAATCGATAGATTATATGCTCTTGAACAAATTGTATAGCATCCCCAGAATCAACCTTCTTCAAAGCAATCGACTCTACCCACTTGGTAAAATAATCGATTGCCACCAATATAAACTTATGCCCTTTACTCGATGGTGGATTAATCATACCGATCATATCAATTCCCCAACCTCTAAATGGCCATGGTTTAATGATAGGATTCATAGCTGATGCCGGTGCCCTCTGAATTGCTCCAAATTTTTGACAATCTTGACATCCCTTATAATATTTAAAACAATCCTCCAGCATTGTCAGCCAAAAATACCCTGCACGTCGAAGCAATCACTTCATCTTATGAGCCGATTGATGAGTGCCACAAATGCCTTCATGAAGCTCACCGACTGCAACCTTAGCTTGATCGGCACTCAAACACTTAAGTAACACCCCATCAATCGTCCGATAATAGAGTTCATCATCCAATAAAGTATACTTCAACGCTCTATATCGCGATTTCCGAGAAGCCGATTGAGATGGATTCTGTAAATATTAATGTACATCATATCTCCAATCATCG